AGGGACTCGGCGAGTGGTGATCCACTCGGCGAGTCGGGTCAACTGAAAGTTGACTCCAGCTTTGGCTTAGAGCTAAACCAGGGGTAAAATGGTCATTTTACCTAAAGGACAGTTAGGAGTGTTTGATTGAGTATATCGTGGAAATTGCAGCCGGAGGACTCCCGGAGCAGCAGCAGTCAGTTAGTTCCCGATCAGTTCAGCAGCTACTTTGAGGTGAGTTACCTTCCAGTAGCGGTGGGTCTAAGGCCACAATGCCGACCCACCAGTAGGAGATGTATGATAGATGATTGTCTTGGTGATATCATCTAAGTTCGCTATTACCTGACATGTTATATGCTAGCATGATATGTTGTATGTGATAGTAGTAGAGTTTGGTTGTTAGGACCGAAGGGTAGTCAGACACCCCAGATACGTCTGACAGTATGTGATGATATGTATGCATGCTGGCTTGTTATGTTATATGTGATCGTAGTAGTAGGGGTGAAATAATCCCCGAGGATCGGTTGTTAGGACCGCTGGGTAGTCAGCACCCCAGAATGGCTTGACATGGGTAGTCAGCACCCCAGAATGGCTTGACATGGGTAGTCAGCACCCCAGAATGGCTTGACACGGGTAAGACGGCACCCCAGAATGGCCGTATGGGTAGGTCGGCACCCCAGAATGGCCGTACCGGGTAGTCAGGCACCCCAGAATAGCCTGGCAGTACGTATGTTATGTGTTTGTATGGTATGCGGTACGTTGGGGGAACTCACTAAGCTTTGTGCTTACGTTTATAGTTTTGTTTTCAGGTACCTCTGCATCGAAGGGGAAGGAGCCGGCGCGGTAGCGGCACGTCATACACACACTCTTCGGTTTCCGCATTTATGAGATTTACTGGGATTGTACTCTGATATTTTGATGGGATGTACGGTTTGGCTTTTGAGAACATGGTTGCAATGTGTTATGGTGTGAACAAACAATGTTTTTATTTATTAATGTTTTCTAAAGTAATATCTTAAAAATGAAATTTTCGGACGTAAAAATTGGGTCGTTACAACCACCATCTACCTCCCTATTGAAAAAATTAGATATGGGTTTATCTTCTTGTATCAAACATGTTTTGTGAAGCTAGAAGATGGAAGGATGTAAAGAATATAAGGAAACTAATGAAGGATCATGGCATCAAGAAACACAAAGGTGTTAGCTTTATTGAAGTTAATGGAGTTTCATATGAGTTTACGGTTGTACTGAAAAGTCTCGATTCTGTTGAGAAGGAGGAACTCGACGAGTTGAAGGAAATATCGATGATTTGGATCACAATTTCACAATTCTACAACCTATGGGAACTCTACGAGTTGAGGAGTGAACTCGACGAGTTGAGTCAACTCGGAACTTTGACTTTGACTTTGACTTTGACTTGGACGAGTTGACCCATAGGGGCTATGAGTATGAAGGGCACTTAAAGGAAATCTTTTATGTTTGGGAGCTTGATTTGGGTGATATTCGGAGCCGAGGATTTTTCAGCTATTTCCCAGTATTCGAGGTGAGTTACCTTCCCAGTATGAATGGGTCGAAGGCACCAATGTCGGCCCATTAGTAGTTGTTTATAGTAGGGACAACTGTATTTGTGATAATTGATTGGTATGCCACTCTCTGTTGAGATTTATGTGCTTGTATGATATGTTATTATGTGTTATTGGTAGGGGTGAAATAGACTCTGTATCCAGTCGAAAGGACCAAAGGGGTAGGCCAGCACCCAGATATGCTAGGCAATATGTGATTTATGTGTTTATATGCTAGGATATTATATGGTAGTAGTAGGATTGAAATAGTCCCCGTGACCGGTTAAAAGGACCGAAGGAGTAGGCTAGCACCCATATATGCTAGGTGGTTATCGGTTGAAAGAGACCGAAGGGGTAGGCCGACACTAAGATATGTTTGGCGGGTACCGGTTGAAAAAGATTGAAGGGGTAGGCCAGTACCCGGATATGCTTGGCAGTATGTTTATTGTATGGTATGTGGTATGATCGGAGAACTCACTAAGCTTCGTGCTTGTGGTTTTCAATTTTGGTTGTAGGTACCTCTTCTTCAAAAGGAAAGGAACCGACATGATCGCAGCGCATCACACCATGATTTCCGCACATGAGATCTTTGGGAGTTATACTCTAATGTTGTTTCATTATGACATGTTTTGATTATTGATACATTGGCTTTGATATAGTTGACACTATGGATGTTTTTATACTACTGGTTTTCTTATTACTTAATTAAAAATGAAATTGATGGTCTTAAATTTTGGGATGTTACAAAAGGCCATATGACATAATGCATTAGAAGATGACAAGTGGCAAAATTATTTTCATTTATTAAGGAGGATTACAATTCACCATTTGCACCTTTAATTCATTCTAATTATTGCTTTCATATTAATTTATTAATCATATAAATTAACAAATCAATTATGTAATCATTGATCTCATATTAATTAATTAATCATATAATAAATTAACAAATTAATTATTTGTTTCTAATTAATATATTAATCATATAATATATTAACAAATCATTTGTTCTCTATCTCCTAATATCATTTCTAGTTACTTCTAGTTATGAGGGAAACCCAAAAAGGATTTTGCTTATAATTACAACTATATACCAATTTATTAATGAGCTTAGACATCTTAATCCAACGGTGCCAAGCATCCTAAAATTATGAGTAAAAAGAAAGGAATGGTTAAGATGAAGGTGATACTAGCATGAAAAGGGGAAAGGGTCAAAATGAAGGTGATAGTAGCATGAAAATGGGAAAAGGTCAAGAAGAAGGTGGTATTAGCAATGAAAAAAGGAAAAGGTCAAGAAGAAGGTGGTATTAGCAATGAAAAAAGGAAAAGGCTCAAGATATAGTTGGTAGTTCCAAAAAGAAAGAAAAAAAAAGGGGGGGGGGGGGGAATGTTCAACAACAACAGGGTAAGCTGATAGGGAACAAATCCGAAAGGATAATTAAGATGAAATTGACAAAAAGAGTTGAAGATAAGGCTGGTGAAGGGGATAGCTCATCGAAACCAATGGACTTAGATTAGGATTGTCATGATGTGTCGTATATGAGGGAATGTGTTACCGATTGTTTTTTTTTTTAATTATGGAAAAGTGCTATGTTGGTGTGTTTTAATTTGTTATTGACAATTGCATAATATGAATGTTTGTTTGTGGTTATGAGACAAATATAACAATGTACTTTATTATGAATGTTGAAACTTTACTAAGAATGTTGACACTTGCAAAGTGGATCAACATTGTACAAATATAGCAATGTACTTTATTATAAATATTGACACTGTACTAATAATGTTGACACTTGCAAACTGGATCAACATTGTACAAATATAGCAATGTACTTTACTATAAATGTTGACTCTTTACTAAGGATATCGACACTAACAAACTGGATCAATAATGTACAAATATAGCAATGTACTTTACTATAAATGTTGACACTTTATTAAGAATGTTGATACTTGCAAAATGGATCAACACTGTACAAATATAGCAATGCAATTTACAATAAATGTTGACACTTTATTATGAATGTTGACACTTGCAAATCGGATCAATACTATACAAATATAGCAATGTATTTTACATATTTGCATTCATCAAAACCACACTACCAAATCAATCAACAATATGCATTTAGAAAGAAAAAAAATGAACACACACACACACACACACACACACATATATATATATATATATATATATATATGAAGTTGATATCATAAGAAAAAAAATTAGTAAATAGGAACTACATTTTATTTCATTAATCCAAGTGACCATACATACATTAGAAATGAGGTGTCTAACCCCCCCCCGGCAGAAAATAAAATAAAAAAATAAAATGGTTTTAAAAACCCTAAAATCGGCAAAAGCGACTACTGATCCAAACAACCAACAACAAACATACCTATTACATATTTTATACTGTGCAGATGGCGAAATTAGACAAAAACAAACTACACCCATCAAAAACACTAAAATCGTCATCCATCTACCGATATAACTACACCCACCAAAACCTCAATTAGTGACATCGAAGTAACCACATACCCCAATTATTGACACCACTGCAACTCCAATCGCAGCCATCACAATCACAATTTATTTCAACAAAACGATTTCAACCATTATCTCACTTAGTTGATGTTGCATGTCACCTCTCATTTCCTCAAGTTGCACTTATGTTTCCATGGCGTTGAGCTCATAATCAGTTGGTATGTCTAGATCTGATTCTCAGAAACCACCATACGAGAAGTTTTGTTCTGAAGCTATCTTCTTGATTTGTAGTAGCAAAAAAGATCATACTTGGCTTATAAAACAAAGGTTTCAATCATGGTAACAAAATAGGTAGGAAAAATTGATGTAAAGTAAGTTTTAATTTATAAGCGGGACCATCGGCTTAGCCAGCAATCTTGAGGACCAATGCGAGATAGGAATGAGTATTTGGATCGGGAAACCGGTCAGAACCGGAACCTGATGGAATCGGTCGGGCCGGAACTGGGATGTTATTCTTGTGGATTTTTGGAACCGGAAACTGGTTGAACCGACAAAAACCGGAACCGTATGTTTCTATTTCTCGATTACCGATTCCAACATTAAAGACACGACAAGAACCAGGAACGGTAATTTCGGCCGACTTGGGTTCGTGGACTGGTCCTGTCGGGTCGGTTTCTTTGCTGCCATTTGTTCGGTCCAATATATGTATCTTTGTGGAACACCCGTGGACTATTAATCCGAAACAAACTAATTTTGATGAGACAATAAGTTCTTTAAGAACTTCGGTTAGTTTTGCCCAGGCATGTTTCGGGATTCTCGTAAGTCATAACAACTGAATTTGAGGCAGCAGGTTGCGAGTGAGTAGCTTTCTTACCTTTCTACGTTATTATCTTTCCCTATCAACACAGTGCTTCAGCAAATCCCAACTTCCTTATTGGTGCTCTTAAACTTGTATGCATTTTACTAGTCAAATGTTGCCGAAGCTACCAATCAACCTCCCGCCCCATCTTAGTCTCAAACTCATCAAAACTTACTGTGATTCCGGTGATCTACGACGTGCCCGCCAGCTGTTTGATAAAATTACCAGCCCAGATTTGCATTCATGGACGACGTTAATATCAGCTTACACACGACATGATCTCCAAAAAGAAGCTATTAATCTGTACACCCGGTTAAGGGACATCGGATTCCAACCCGATAGATTTGTTCTTCTGTCAGTTGTCAAGGCTTGTTCCACATCTGGAGATCTTATTCAAGCTCAGAGAGCTCATAAAGATGCTGTCATGTTTGGGTTTCATCACGATCTTTTGTTAGGGAATGCAATGATAGACATGTTTGCAAAATGCAAGCATCTTGAAGGCGCCAAAACAGCTTTTAACGATTTACAGGTTAGAGATGTAATTTCTTGGACATCAATCTGTTCTTGTTATGTTAGTTGTGGGTATCCCAGAAAGGGCCTTCAAGCCTTTAGAGAGATGGGGTTAGATGGAGTAAAACCCAACTCGGTTTCACTTTCTTCAATCCTTCCTGCTTGTTCTAATTTAAAGTGTTTGGATTTAGGTAGAGAAATACACGGATTTGTGGTGAAAACTGGAATGGGAGCAAATGTGTTTGTCAGTAGTGCACTTATAAATATGTATGCTACTTGCTTATGCATCAAAGAGGCTGAAATAATATTCAATCAAATGGTTAACAAAGATATTGTGTCTCATAATGTAATGCTATCAGCATATTTTGAGAATGGAGAACCCGAAAAAGCAGTATCCATGTTCAAAAAGATGAAAGAAAATCATTCCAAGTTAAATTACGCATCATGGAATTCCATTCTCTCTGGATGCTTTCAATCTGGACAAACACAAGAAGCATTAAACTTACTTTCAGAAATGCAAGACTCAGGATTCAAACCCAATCAGATTACATTGACTTCTGTGTTGACCGCATGTACAAATTCAGAAAGCTTGAGGGGAGGTAAGGAGATTCATGGTTACATCTTTAGACACTGTTTCTTGAATGACACAACTGTCTTAACAGCTCTTATCTTCATGTATGCTAAATGTGGGAAACTTAAATTCTCTCAAAAAGCATTTGAGATGATGCATACAAGAGACACGATTGCTTGGAACACAATGATTATGGCAAACTCAATGCATGGAAATGGAGAAGAAGCATTAACTCTCTTTACTCAAATGCTAAAATCCAGTGTGAAACCGAATGCGATTACTTTCACAGGTGTTCTTTCTGGTTGTAGCCACTCAAAGTTAGTAGATGAGGGCCTTTCTGTTTTCAACTCAATGAGTAAAGTTCATTTGATTGAACCAGATGCTGAACACCATTCATGTGTTGTAGATGTTTTAAGTCGTGCAGGAAGGTTAGAAGAGGCGTATAAATTCATACAAAATATGTCAATAAAAGCAACTCCTTCTGCTTGGGGAGCTTTACTTGGTGGATGTAGAGTGTATAAAAATGTCGATTTGGCACGAATTGTAGCAAAAAAGCTATTTGAGATTGAACCAAACAACCCCGGGAATTATGTTTCGTTATCTAACATTCTTGTGAATGCTAAACTATGGGGGGAAGCTTCAGAAACTAGGAAAGCAATGAGGGATAAAGGAATGAAGAAAGAACCAGGTTGTAGTTGGGTACAAGTCAAGAACAAGGTGCATACTTTTGTGGTTGGAGACAAGAGGAATGAACATAGTGATGATATTTATAAGTTCTTGAGTGATATGAGTGATAAAATGAGGCAAGCTGGATACTTACCTGACACAGAGTTTGTTCTTCAAGATCTTGATGGGGAGGAGAAAGAGGACACGTTGTGTAATCATAGTGAGAAACTTGCTGTTGCGTTTGGGATTATGAATTTGAAAGGTGAATCGGAGATTACAGTGTTCAAGAATTTGAGAATTTGTGGGGATTGTCATAATGCTATAAAGTTTATGGCGAAAATTGTTGGGGTGAGAATAGTTGTGAGAGATTCTTTGAGGTTTCATCATTTTAGAGATGGGTTTTGTTCATGTAAGGATTTTTGGTGATTAATAATCAAATATGATAACATTATTATAAGAATTCTTGATAATATACATTGAGCACAAAATCAGAATCAAGAAAACAAATAAAAACAAATACATTTAGTTAATATCACTCCAACTGAGCATACCAAACACCTTGAATTTTAACATCTTTAGGGACTTTTGCACCCAAATCAGTATCGGAGGGCTGAATGCTCTCAAACACTCCGATCACTTCACCGGTGTCAGGTTTGGTTGAGGTGACACTCAAGGTGATCTTCCCTGTTGACGCTGCAACATTCTTTACATTTTCTTTGGAAAGCTCCTCTTCATCTCCTCTCCCACCCGCCGGTAAAGCAACGGCGTTGTCATACCCGGTGGATCCACCTCTGCCCTTTGGGTCGAGAAACGAAGACCCTCTGTACGACGGGACTAGGAATTCCCCACCGAAGCTTTCCGGTTTACCGGAGGCGACAAGTTGTTTGATCGTGAACAGGAATGGCACACGTTCACCTCCGGGAAGTTGAACAGTGACGGCAGCGTAGTCAATTCCGTCTTTCTCTTCGAATTTGATGGTGCCATCGGAGGATACTTCGAGAGGGCCCTCGATTTCATCGAGGGTGTAGGTCAATCGGGTCATGAGTTTGGTTTTTTGGAACTCCGGCGTGGAGTTCTTGCTAACGCCCTCGGCTTTGACAGTGAACGACGTCGGCTCTAAGCAAAATTTCTTGGCGTTGTAATTGCCTGGTTTGACGGCGAAGCCGTCGACTCCGCCTTCGATGGTTGGGCACTGGTTAGCGGTGCCTGTTCCTTTGACTTCCATGTAGGTCTTACTTTGGATTTCATCGAATGTTAGCCTTTTAGGGCTTCCTTCAGCGCTTGCTCCCTGTTATAATTAACGATTACAATGATATTGTAAGCAGAGGAGTAGGTAGAATTTGGATGATGATGATGATGATAAGATGGAGAATAAAAACCTACTGAAACGACGAGGGCGGAAGTTGCGAGAGCGAAGCCGGCGATTTTGGCAGCGTCGGTGCATTTGTGAGCGAAGTCCTTGAGATCGGATTGAAGGGAACAGGTGAGTTTGGCTCCGGATGACTCGACGCCGAAGGCCTTGCAGATGCTCTGAGAAGACTTGAGCTGTAAGCGGCTTGAGACGCCGACTTTGGTTGGCTGCATGAATGTTGCAGCTGCTTGTAATGAGGCTGCCATTGTTGTAAGTTTGCGAACCCCAATTCCCCTCCTCTGTCTGTTGGATCAGTCTGTTGTGAACTGTGATTGTAGTGACTACTTGCAGGGAATTGGGCTGAAGTAGGAAAGGGATTTGTGTGGTGCATGGGAAATACTTGAGTTGATTGGAGGAAGATAAACAGATAGGATAAGGTGGTGTTTCATTGGATGCTCTGAGCTACTTTCTATGGTGTTGTGCATTGCCATGTGGTTCGTAGGACATGGAAATTCCTTTGCAACATATTTTTTTTTTAATTCATAATGTTTTTCCTTATGCAGCAACCAGGTTTTTTTTTTACTTTTTTTAATCATGCTTTAAATCTTTTTATTCAATATTTTTGTCTTTTTATTTGATCTTGGTTAGAAAAATTATTACAATCAAGTTGATGGAATTAATTAAGTGTTCCTTTTTTATATATAGTTATGGAATGAAATTTTAAATAGTTGATTTTTGTGTTAGGGAAATGGAGGTTGCAGAAATGTGAATTTTGCGATGGATATGTGGTAGAACATTGTTGGATACTGAATATATTTTTGTGGGATTCGCTGGGAATGACATCGATCTTTGAGAAATTAAAGACCGTGTTTGTTTTCATGGTTACTTTTTTTCCTCCATAATAGAACGCATTGCTTGATAGAAAACAGTTTTTGTAAATAAAGGTTTGTGAAGTTATAATAATCAAGTAAATTAAACCTTCAATCATATTTGCATTTTCTGTTTAGCTGATAAAATAAACTCCACAAATTATAATAATATAATAAGATAAATATACATATAAACCACCAACACGAATAGAATACCCTCCTATCCTCCTGTCAAATAGGGAGGGAAGCCAATCAATATGAAAGTCTACCAAGATCCAGGCCTTTGTAAAAGACAACGTCATCATGTATTACCTGTTGCAGATGTACTAGCAGCAGCAGTGGTGGTGGTTGTGGTGGAAGTAGACGCCTTCTCAGATGAAGCAACAACCACCCCAGGCCATGAACGACACATGCAATGCTTACCTTCCTCAATACTCCCATACAAAATCTTCAAATGCTTCCCACAACCACCCCACCCATACTTTCCACACGTGTTGCACTCCACCCTGTAACACATTGTCTCACACACTCTTTCTGCTACTCTCATCTCTTCCTCATTTTATAGCACTCATAGGAACTTTGGTATCATCTATGCATTCACACACTGAGGCCTCGTATTGAAAATAACGATCCTCATTGCTCATTGTTTTTAGTCAACATAGACTCACGGAACCCCCAAAAGGCACCCTAGCTAAGATCCAATTCTATATTCAATGTGTGATGTGTCTCAACTCTTAACTCTTATACATGATTAGCATTGAAAAAAAAAAAACAAGAAATTACACTATTTATTAGAGTTCACTGTACAATGTTGCCTAACAAACTATTAGTCGAGGGTGAGCTCTGTTCACTTAACCACGGGTCCCGCACAGACACCGGTGACGTATCTTTCTCCTTTGACTTAGTCAAAACATTCGATATCATCTGTGGGACCACTAATTTCCGGCTTCCTACACCCGCCACCGAAGAAGAAGAGGTGACTGATAATGGTGTCATGCTGACATCATCCTCACCCCTCATTTTAATCATCTCCAACTCATCTGCAACTTCTGTCATCGAAGGTCTCATGTCTCCATGAAAAGCCAAACACCGAAACGCCAGCTCAGCAACCTTGTGAATTGACGAAAGCGTCCACGCGTCCCTATTCGGGTCCAAAAACGGATCGATAATCTCATCCACACGCCCTTGACCGATCTTGTTTACAGCTAGAGCCGCCAGGTTGACTTCGGTGCTCCGTCTTGACAAGTCAACCACCTTCAAAGCTGTGATTATCTCCACAAGAACAACCCCAAAGCTATACACATCACTCTTATCAGAAAGATGAAAGTTTTGATGATACTGTGGGTCCACATAGCCAGGTGTCCCTTGAGGTGCAGTTGAAATGTGTGATTCATCCATGATCCCAACTCTAGAAAGACCAAAATCCGCAACTTTTGAACTGAATTTGTAATCCAAAAGTATGTTGCTGGATTTGATATCTCTATGATAAATCGGGGGGTTCATGGAAGAATGAAGATAAGCAATCGCGTGTGCAGTTTCAGTCACAATGGTCAACCTTCTCCTCCATGGAAGACCATTTCCTCTTTCCTTTTGTAAATGTTGACAAAGTGTCCCATTTGGCATGAACTCATAAACTAATATTTGTTCGCCTTTTTCGATACAAAACCCTAAAAGGCGAACAAGATTCGGGTGGCTTACAGAAGATAGAAGCTTGATTTCATTCATGACTTGGTCAATTCCATAAGTTTCTATGTGTCGGATCTTTTTAATGGCAACCCATTCGTTGTTGTTGAGTTTTCCAGCATAAACTGTGCCATATGCTCCTATACCTAACCATTGTTTCTCAGAGAATCCGTTTGTTGCCTTTTGGATTTCTTTGTAGGGGTAAAATGGTACATTGAAGCTCCCTGTGGCTTCTGAAAGGAAACGTTTTGTACTCATTTGGTTTCTTGTAATAGCTTGCTTTCTAATGCAGTAGCAAATAAGTGCTATAATGGACATTAAAGATGCTCCCACAACAATCCCTAAAAAAATTTAAGGAGCAAATAAGTAATGTTTGAGTGAGAAAATAGAATTACAATGTAGTTTTTTGGGTGTTAAGTAATAATTGAATTTAAAAGTGGTTGAGAGGAAATTACCTACTATTAGAACAACTACTCTTGTGGTTCCACCACATTCACCAGACATGTATTTTGAAGCATTGCAATTTGAGACTGTTGCAAGAAGGCATCTTTCAGTCTGATTTATTTAATATATTTATCATAAAACCTAAAGAGATGAAAATTTTCCCTAACGAAGCAAAAAAAAAAAAAAGATGGTCCAATATTGACTATACATTCAAACTTAGTGGCTTTTTGGTTGTAGTCTTCATACCGTTACATGTCATTATCAACTTCTCTACACAGAGAAAATATAATGTATTTGCCTTTTTTGAAGTTATAATAACCCAATCTCTTATTTGGGAGCATGGATCACATCTTCATAAGATATAAATGAAACCAAAAAATGGAAATGTTAAATGATCAAAACAAATAGCAACTACCAATTGGATGCGTTTTGGTCTATCTTCCATAAATACTATTGTGTGGTTGGAGTTCTATGGTCCATGAAGAAGATAGTTAATTAAAATAAAACTATCAAGATCCACGTATTTGGGTATTGCCTAAAGCCCTAAAGTCGAGGCAATTAGATCATCATCCCCCACATCCAACAAGAAACAGATGGGTGGACAAGAAAATTAAATTCAGTTGCGTATGGTCTACTCTAATTACCCAAAATTAATTCCTCCTCATTCAAAAATGGTAGACTAATGTTCTTGTTTCACCATTGTTGGTGTGCTTGGGACAAAATGAATAGAGATATGGTGCGATTGAATTAACAAGGAATAACGACTAATCAGTGAGTCACTTCTGGTTCAATTCATTTTTTTGCAAAGAAACTGAAACATTTTTCTAGTGGGAAGAAAGCTGGATTTCAGATTATACATGTATATAAATTGGGTGAAGAGGGAACTAACCTCTCCTGCAACCATCGCCGTTGACGAATCCATCTCCGTCGTATCCCTTATTGCAGTGGCATCGGTACCCCGCCATCGCATTATAAATTGATATGTTCTCACAGACCGCTTGGTGATGGCAATGGCAATCCCCGTGCACCCACCACCCCAACTCCGCCGACTGAAACCCCATCGACAACGACGACCTTTGCGTACTGTTTCCGTCTAAAACAACGGTAATCGCCGAGTACAGAACCCGACAATCGGCCATATCTAATTTAGTCAGATCCATAAACTCATTTGCCATAAACTCTACGCGACCAAGGTCATCATCTGAGTAGCAATTTAAGCTGCTATTCGGTAATCTACAACTTGATGAGTTATAGTAACTCATTGAGACCGCGCATTTATTCAAGCCCTCGCTACAGTTTCCCAACAGCAACTCATTTCGCTTTGTGAGGGCATAATTTTGGTTTCTGAGTAGTCGGATTTCTTCGAACCGGCGATCGCATTTAGCCGGCAAATTAATCAGTATATGATCTCTGGTTAGATTCAGAACCGTGTAGTTGCCAATACGAAGTTCTCCGGTATCTGCACAAGTAAGAGGGACTTCACAACCGTCGGAGAATCCGAATGGGAAACGAACTGGGATATCGCGACTACTCCCTTTACAAACGCGATTGCAATTTGCTCCGACAGATGCTGCTGATGATGATGATGCGATTACCAGGATCACAGAGAAAAGGAGGAGGTGAAGAATCATGTTTCAATATTATTGAAATTGAAAAGTCGTACAAGTATTAAGCATAAACGAAGGGAAAGATCAAAACTGGGCCAGTAATGGACCATTTATTGGAAGAAATTAATGGGGTGCAGTTGATGTTGGTGAAATTTTCCTGCTTATTCAATAAATGATTTCAGGGAAATACCGAGAACTTGCATCTTGGATTTTGAATTTAAATATGCAAGTAACTTAGCTGATTGATTGACTCTTGATGAGATATTTCTAAAATTCAAAATATGACGCCATTGACGAGAATCCATGCTCTTGGAATTGACTAATAAAAAGTTGAGAGGGCTTAGAAACTAGAAGCAGATCCAGTTATCCTTTTAGTTTTTGCTCTTCTCCGGAGGAGGCGTTTGTGAGAGACGGAAGGAGGCCGCGATAGAATAAAGGACATCTCTGAACGTTGGCAAGCTGAATCGTGCGACAATGACGATCTTTTCGGGTTACCATTTTAATCCAGTTGAAGTAACAAAATACAAAATAAAATCTAAATTCAAGATCTTTTATAATATTATTATAGAGAATGAAGAATACAGTTATATAAAATATCAAAACATAAACGATCTTATATGGCTCTTTCAATAGATATTTTTTCATCGGTCAAATGATTTGAATATTAGAAATAATATGTTACGAGAATTTGTTTTTACGATTTATGTTATTAGAATATGTTCAGATTTACGATTTATCTATGTTTTTATGTCATTTTTTTATATCTAAGGAGGATGCCTTGTATGCTTGTTGTAAGAGTTTATGAGAACTACATGTTAGATTAAGGCTAAGGATCTAGGAATGATGCCTTACATGCCTGTTGTATGAGTTTATTGAGCTATGTGCTAGGGCTAGATAGTCAGCAGTATGGTAGCCTGGTTAGGTTATGCTTGGTATTGGTTACTCAATGCACGAATGTTGCTTGCTTTGTGCTAATAGGGGTTTCGGATAGCTGTAACTAACTAGTAGGCGAATATGTAATAGTATTTGCAAGCTAGTTAGGGAAAGATGGTAGGGACTCCTTGTGCAGCTGATGGTGGAGAGTAGGTCGGAGAATGCCCTAGGACAAGCTTAGGATGAGATAAGCTTGGAAAGCAGTATTAGTACAAGGGACTTGGTGAAGTCGAAGCAATCCTTAAGGAAAGTACGGATAGATGTGAAAGTTAGTATGGGCTCGTACTATTGGAAGCATAAGATCTATACTCGAATCAAGGAGGGCTGAGATAGAACCAGAAAACTTGGAGAGTGTGTGAGATCTCTCGAGAGTGTGTATGACCCTGACATTTATGTATTTTATTTCAGCATGGCGATTACACAACATGGACTAGGAGGTTCA